CACAGGTAGCATTGCTTCCATGCCTGGAGGAATAAAATGTGGATCTAACAGATGCCAAATGTAACTACAAAATCTTCTGAAACCTATGCTGGAACGTGTGGCATTATCTGACGTGCACTTCCTTAGAAACAACCAACAAAGGTTGTTTCAATGGTTGCCAATAACAACTGTGATTGGCCCGTTTGGAACCAGCAATTCCGTCTGTGCATTTCTATCTACTTCTCCTTATGCTGCCATTTTTCCAAAACTTCAACTTGAAGAGACAAAACTGCAGAACATTGGAGGCACATCAACACAGGTATAAATGCTTGTAATGCCACCTTGCCACTTAAATCGCCATTTTTATAGGCTATATCATAGGCTTCTAAATCAGGCCTCAGTCAGCAGCAACAAAGCTTCTCCTCTGGTCCTGCTTACTGTACAAGTAGGCAGATGTAAAACCACAGAGGAACCAGGATGAGGCCCTATATTGGGTTTTTTTTCTTTTTGGTCAAAATCTACGTGGTAAGTCTTTCTTTTTTTTAGTTAGGAAGGGCTGTTGCTGGTTTGCAGACCTAGAAATTTGTCCTGATATTCATTGAAATGTTTCCTAACCTTCGTGCTTTGAGTACAACTCAATAACATAGCTAAAATGTATATAATTCCTTAAAATTCCTTAAAATAAACTTTTTTTCTAGTAACTAGAAAACCCCAGGTTAGCAAGCAATTGGCGACAGTGGGAATAAAAAACTTTCTTTTGAGGGGATGAAATGTGTCATGATTAAAATCTTCTGTTTTCTGTTTTACAGCTGGCACTAAAGTATTTACAGTATTGTCACATAAGTGTTAGTAACATGATATCAATATTTCTTTTAAAATACCAAGAGTATTTTATTGGAATTTAATTGGAATTTGTAACATCTGAAAAAGAAGTTCTTTCTCCCCACCATCACCAAGTGCCTGCTCACAGGGGGTCCCCTTCTCTAATATTGGAGCAGTTTTAACTCGCACATTGTGATGACTGAATGAAATTGAATCAATTTTATTTGAAGCAATACCCATATTTATATACACATGTGACACCGTAACCGTATAATCACAAAAAACAAGAAAACACATAATAGACCCCATTAAGATATCTTGATTTTCCTTTGTATCCTCTTTTGACTTAATAGTCTCCTTTGTAATGAAAACTCCTGAAATAATTTTTGTCAGAATTGGGATATGGTTCTCTGCACACCGAAGCACCTCGGCTCTCTCAGGCAGTTTAATACCTGCAGCGTGGAGGGAAAGGGAGTGCAGCATATTTTGTTGCTCATCTAAATGATTACAGATTATTCAGATAGTGAATGGTAGCTGTTTGTAGCTGATGTCTTGTAATTGCTGAAAATCACTAGCAGATAGGGAGGACTCAATGACTCGCAAGTATTCTGCGTTTTATCTCGTTCAGACATGAATTTTTCCAATTCCAAACCAAAGCCATTGTGAGCAAGGCACTTTCATTATATCAGAGATGGCTGGCTGTTGGACATACATTTAAGTAATAAAAGACCACACAATGTGTGCGTGTCCATTGTTCAGGATAGTGAAGTAATAAGTTTTTGCGAGTGCAGCTAATTCAGAGTGTGTGCATGTGTGTGTGTATAGGATTTACATAGCACTTTTTCTCCATTTTCACACATGTATGCACACACACGGGCTTCTGCTTGTGCCTCTGAATGATTGAGATTGCCCTGGCAGAGGTCCAAACCTTGTTTTGGGTTTAGCCCATGCTGAGAGAGGAGAGCAGAAGCAGAGAGTGATATACTTCATCCCGACTCTCATTAGACAATTCGGGGAACACGTCAAACCGCAATTTGTTTCCCTTGCATCCAATAAACAGCTCATTCACCGGTCAATCAGTCACCACAGCAGCTAGTCAGATTAAACCCAGCAGAGGTTGACAGAAAGAAAAGAGAACCAGAGGAGAGGACAGCTGAGGCAAAGAGCTAATGGCAAAATACCACTCATCTGAAATATATGTCGCCTTTTGCTCAGTGATGCCTTTGGTGACCGCACCAGCTTTTGGAGATTGGTCCTGTTTATGAGATGAGTGATGAGAACACCACCTGGTGGATTACACACTGTAGTTTTTCATGCTAACACCTCAGAACATATTAGGTCAGCAACGGTATTTAAAATGAGAACATTTCTACCAGCCTTAAGTGGAATCATCTGAAATGACATATATGTGTAAATGTGTCCGATGTGTAAAAGAATCTATCACGCTCAGCAGGGACTAGTTTCTTTAAAGCAAGTGGAAGGAGTGGGTGATCGTACAGGCGATTGTACGGCACAGAAATGTCACTGATTCACACCACTCAGTCAGTCTGCCCAGAGACAAAGGCCAAAAGCTAAACTGATGGATCGTCCAGTCATGTTTCTTAAGCAAACCTCTGGAGGACAGTTTTAGACCTGAAACTCGTTCTGATCTTTATGCAAAAGAGAGGAATGCATAGTTATAGGTACATAGTGCTCACACTTTAACACAAGTACATACTGCTAAGATTTTGAGGATCAAAGGTTTCTGGGATGTTACTTCATTTCATGAATGGGTATTAAGCGTAATACATAAACCGTTTTGGGGGCTTTGTTATGAGAGTTGAGAGCAGACAGGAAGGTTGGGAGGAAGAGGACTTGGCAAATGACTCAGGGCGAACCCAGGCTTGCATCAACTACAGTATAGGTTGCCTGCTCAACCCAGTGAGTAGGGTTGCCAACTCCCTGAAAAATAAATAAGGGACACCTCGTGGCCAGGGCCGGGCGACCCAGTTGTCTTCACCCTTCCCAGTGTGGTGAATTTTCTAGCTCTTTTTTTGTGTGTGAAATTATTTTTTTTAACCCTTTGACTTGAATTTGATTTAAGTACATGCATATTCTTTGTGATATGAACTCATGTGAAACAAATGATCATTTAGCCATTTATTTTTAGCTCAAAATGACAACATTAACACAGTAAAACAGGTCTCTTTCTTAAACAGAAACCTGTCATGCTTAACTTTTGAGAATATAAGTAAATCTTTCTTTAAAAGAACTCTGTCCTGCTTAACTTAAAATAATAGAAAACAATAGAAAGAAAAATATTCTTGTAACAGTGCACATTTAGTGCATTTAGTACAATTGGCTTCAGTTGAGGTATTATTTCAGCTTTTCTAATGCTAATCAGCTGCTCCTGTTTGTAAACCCGCTTGTTCCCATGATTACGCATCATAACTCATCATCATTATTCATCTATGTATTACTTTTATGTATTAGTCATCTATTTGTTGTAATCATCTATCCTTGCAGTTGTTTATTACACAAAATAAATTATATTATCACACTTCTGGCCACATAGCGCTGATATTCACTGCACATGCCCATATTAACTTTTTCCAGCCAGGTGTTTTCCTTTTCCCATTCTTCCCTTTCTCTGAGGGGAACAAATATTGCTGCTCTAATGCTGGGCTTACACTGTGCGGTTTTAGGCCCATTTTGAGCCGATTTTTGACCGATTTTGGCCTTCATCGTGCATCGTGTAGTATACGTGGGGTAACGAGAAGTGATTAACACCTCACGACCAGCTCCCGATCATCAATCGCTCGTGAGGGTCTCACCACAGCCGCTCACACTGCTCGCGCGCAAACACGTAAACGCCGTGAAAAAGACGGAGCAGCACGGCAGTGCAGCGTGTGATCTGGACACAAGCGATGGAGGCACAACTTGTAGAACTTTGGAAAGCTCATCCGAGCCTTTTCGATGTGGCATCACAAAATTATCACGACCACAACAACCGTGAAAATAGTTGGATCTACACTGCTGCTCAATCACAGCTGCCTGATCATGTTTTTCATTAGCAATTTAGCAAAGTTGATGGTGGTGGCGTGTGTCTGTGTGAGTGAAAGACAGAGAGAGCGAGCGACAGATTTTCTGTTATAACCTTCATGTTATGGAGGCACAGTGTGAGCACTCAGGTCGCATCAGAGCATCGGGCGGTATAGTGTGAGACCTGCATCGTGACCTACCAACTTCTAACCCCTGCGAGTCAATCGTGCAGTTTGAGCAGGAGCTGAATAACGTGACTGAAAAAATCGCACAGTGTTTGCCCAGCTTTAGGTGTACTGTCGTCCGAGACTTGCACCGCAGTGACGGCGTTTGTTTCCCTGTTGGCCATGCTTCTTGTTGTGGTCATCTGTTGTCTTCCGGTATTTTCTCCGTAAGCGACCTTTCCTCGACCAATGAGATGAGCAGTAATCTGAATTGTCATACTCGAATTGTCATAAGTGTGCTGTCAGCTCATTGGTCACAAAGCAGGAGAGGGGCTGGGAATTATGTTTTCAAACAAGGCGTTAATTCCATAAACATTTATAGACTACTTTTGATTCTCTCTGTATTACGGGACAAAGTGCGTCCCTTATTAGCTCAATACGGGACGTGTGCTTTTGTTTCGAAATACGGGACGATTCCGTTTTTTAAGGGACAGTTGGCAACCCTACCAGTGAGACAAATCAGAACCCACAATCCATAAGCTCATTCGGTGAAAAACTGTGATGTTGAGTTGGAATGTTAAACGTGTTCATGGCATCATTAGAACTGCATTATAAACATTATAATACATTATATCCTTTCAGCAAGTGGGAATTGAAATGATTTGATGTCTGTGACAGAACTTTCCTTTTGCATAACATATTACACATTTAATCTATTTGGCTAACCAGTCTTTTCAGGCCATATCTGTGTATGTGTATAAAAGAGTGAATCATGAATCATGCAGTCATATAAAAACATACCAGTCTTGACTGAATTTAGGTCTTAGCTTTTTTGAAGCTAGCTAGCAGGTTGCACCAAAGTTTAGAGACATAGCAGAAAAAAATCTCTAATTTTATAACAGATATTTTTACAGTAATATACATGTTACGGGAGGTCTGTTAAGAGAGCCTCCGTGCAAAAAGAATAGGAATTCTAGTAGGGACCAGCAACAAACCACCGCGCACACACTGCAATGGGTTACACAAAATTTATTTGTTCTTCCTCTAGGCAAACTACCGGCTGAAGACAACCCCGGCCAGGGATCCAAAGCCCAAAGACCACCGCGGTCCGAGTTCTTCGCCTAGTTACAAACAGGGGAGAGAGGGTCACTGCACGAACACGCAACCAACCGTATCAATCCTGCAGCTCCCTAAAACAGGTTTGCCACCCACCTTTTCAGGCTTTAACTTTGTTCGAGGCTGGGTCTCCACATTACCTCCCGGCAGTTAAACTTCCCCGAGCTGGTCCAGTTCTTCTTATCGGGGCGCAGGAGGTCTCCAGTCTAGTGCTCGTTTTCCTCTTTTCCAACACGTCCCTTTTTTTTCAGCACGTCCTCTCTTTTCCAGCACGTCCTCTCTTTTCCAGCACGTCCTCTCACAGCTCCATAGGAATACGTCCTCCTTTCCACGTCCTCCGTTTCGTTAAAAGCAAAAACCAGGCCAGGCTAAAAAAAAGATCCTTTCTATTAAAAATGCGCACACTTTGTCCTGGATCTCCGGGGCTCTCCTGCTTCACCGAGGTCCTACTAAAAACAACAACAACACTTCCTGCTTCCTCTCCCCTTTATAAAGAGGAACTCCAATCAGCCGCTCCCTGTATTCAACTCCGCCTCACTGGCAGCTGGGCTAGAGTAAAATCTCCCCTCCCACACAGGTGCAACAACCGTAAATAAACACAAAAACATGCAATTAATCCAAAACAAACTCAAAAACAAAACCAACAAAACTTAGGGGGGGGGGGGGGGGGGTTTCTCTCCGTCCTTTCCCACCATGCTATACTCCGTAACACCCACCCCAACTTTTTCCTAGCCCGTCCTCGGGCACTCTACTAAGTATATCGAGGTGGGGGCTTCCCGAGATTTTCACGGGCAGATCTCCTTAAACCCTCCTGAGTTGCAGGGGCGGACTTGTTGGAGGACGGATAGTGACTTGGCCCTGGCATCTGCTGTGCCATACTCCATAGAAGTAACCACTGGTCTGAGGCTGTCGCTATATCATGCGCAGCTGCTGTTCCTGGTTCTAAGGCGCCACCTCCTGTTTTATCATTGACGGAAGGCAAGAAAGTACATATGCGCAGGCGATTACGATGGACCACTCTAACAGGCCCATCTTTACCTTCTGGCCGAACTCTGTAGACTGGGTTCATAGGGTTTGGCTGGCCAACTACAATTTGGATCTCTTCCTCCCAGTGTGCTGCCAGTTTACCCTGTCCGTCCCTTCTTGTCGTATGGACTAGAACCCTTTCCCCCGGGAGCAATGGTGCTGCCCTAGCCCCAACATCATACCTGTCCTTCATCCGGCCTGCAGCCTTCTGGCTGCTCTTTTCCACCATCTGGTATGCCAGCCTCAAGCGCTCATGATGTCTCCTCACCCACTCCTGCGTCGTGGTTGACTCCATGGGTCTCTTCGTCCCCATAAACAGCTCGCCTGGCAGACGAGCATTCCATCCAAACATCAGGTAATGGGGGGTGTAACCTGTAGACGCATGGACAGAGTTATTATAAGCCTGGAGCAGTTCGGGCAAACATTGTACCCACCGAGTCCGCCTCTCTTCCTCTAGGGTGGACAGCATATTTATTAATGTCTGATTGAAACGTTCACAGGCCCCATTTCCCTGAGGATGATAGGCAGTAGTTCGACTTTTCCGACAATTATAATACTGACAGAGCTCCTTTATGAGGGCGGACTCGAAATTAGCACCTTGATCCGAGTGCAGTTGTTCTGGGCATCCAATTGGCTGAATAATATGTCTCAACAACATCTTCGCTGTAGTTGCAGCGGTCTGGTCCCTGGTAGGTATTGCCCAAGCATACTTTGTAAACAAATCAGTGGCGACCAAAATGTACTGGTATGAGTCTGCCGGTCTACCTAATGTCAGGAAATCAACTGCCACGGTTTGGAGAGGTGCGTGTGTAAGAACAGGACTAAGTGGGGCCCGACCGTCACCACGACCTTTATGACGTACACACCGTTCACAGGATGTTGTCCAGTCCCACACTCTCTTCTCCATTTGAAGCCAATAAAAACTACGGCGCAGCATCGAAAGTGTCTTTGCCACCCCCAAATGACCATTCCTTTCATGGAAAGCCTTCCATGTTGGTTGCTGTTCCTCCAAAGGAACAAGGATTTGGTAGTACGCCTCACAGGTGTTGGAATCCACCCCCCTGCGGACCAGAACACCCTCCAACCGTATCAATCCTGCAGCTCCCTAAAACAGGTTTGCCACCCACCTTTTCAGGCTTTAACTTTGTTCGAGGCTGGGTCTCCACATTACCTCCCGGCAGTTAAACTTCCCCGAGCTGGTCCAGTTCTTCTTATCGGGGCGCAGGAGGTCTCCAATCTAGTGCTCGTTTTCCTCTTTTCCAACACGTCCCTTTTTTTTCAGCACGTCCTCTCTTTTCCAGCACGTCCTCTCTTTTCCAGCACGTCCTCTCTTTTCCAGCACGTCCTCTCTTTTCCAGCACGTCCTCTCACAGCTCCATAGGAATACGTCCTCCTTTCCACGTCCTCCGTTTCGTTAAAAGCAAAAACCAGGCCAGGCTAAAAAAAAAGATCCTTTCTATTAAAAATGCGCACACTTTGTCCTGGATCTCCAGGGCTCTCCTGCTTCACCGAGGTCCTACTAAAAACAACAACAACACTTCCTGCTTCCTCTCCCCTTTATAAAGAGGAACTCCAATCAGCCGCTCCCTGTATTCAACTCCGCCTCACTGGCAGCTGGGCTAGAGTAAAATCTCCCCTCCCACACAGGTGCAACAACCGTAAATAAACACAAAAACATGCAATTAATCCAAAACAAACTCAAAAACAAAACCAACAAAACTTAGGGGGGGGGGGGTTTCTCTCCGTCCTTTCCCACCATGCTATACTCCGTAACATACATAAATATTTTTAAAAATTAATACATTGTGAAATCTGTTTCACCCAATGCAAAGAATCAGAACCAGCTGTATTTTCTTAGTCAGGTTAAAAGCCTCAGCAGCATAGCGCTGAACAGACAACATGCTACCCAGTGTGGTCGATGAGTTGTTAAAAGAGCATGACAGTTACTGATCAGAGATGAGTTTTTACTGGCTGAGGTTTAACACAAGTACTTCTCAAGGAACAAGTTTGAGATTTTAGTTCACAGAGAGAGGAAAAAGTAAATCCAGTCAATATAATAACACCCAGGCGCTGTCGTGTATGACCAAGGGTCATTAAGCTAGAGCTTAGAGTTTTAATTTAATGTGAACTTAATGCGATTGCTTATCCATTTATTAATGATAGTAATAAATAATGGCTGTGTCAAGGAGTGATTGGTCTTGCTTCAGAAAAGACACTGCAACACTTAGGACTGCAACATATTGGATGATGGTGTTTCAGACAACAGTGTACAGCCAACTCTGTGTTTGCAGAGTTTTTTGTTTGTTTTTATTCATTTATTTATATGACATTACAGTTGCCATATGCAGTTACCCAGCTGTTTTAAGAAGGCAACAGGGACTCATTCACTAGTAATTCACTGATTACACTGTCCAAGTCAAGTCACTTTTATTTATATAGCATGACCCAAAGTATTTTTAAATATAACTTTTTAAACCACAAAGTCCCCATAGCCCTATATACAAAGAATAAACTAAACATATTATTGACGATTTCATTTGGTAATGTGCTTTACTGAATGAAGTTTGTATTCCAGGTACTCCCTTTGCTTTTTCTACCCCACTATATATATATTTTAAAAATATTGTACTCTGTACCACTTATATTAAAGCTTTAGTTAAATTATCATTCTACACATGTGTTAATCAAAATCATCAAAATTACAAAATTACAGTGATATAAATATAATAGAAAGCTACTATGAGCTGCTCACTCATTTCCAAGGGGCAGCCAGTGTGGAGCTCCACATGTTTGATTAGGCCTTCGTGCCACAACCCCAATGGGACCTGTGTCTCCTTCTGGGATAACTGGGAATCTTTTGCTTGTTATGCAAAGGTGTAAACCTCTACACTATGGATGCACACATCAAGCACATGTATGTGTATATATATATATATATATATATATATATATATATATATATATATATATATATATATATATATATATATATATATATATATATATATAGATCAAAGTAGCACGGAGGGAGGTTAGCCAACTAACGGAGTTGCAGAAAGGTGCAACAAATAAGGTGCCTAAGAAATACAGCAAGCTGTCCATACCTGAGGCCTTGGAAACTGCCAAGCAAAGACTCACAGCCTTGGCCAGCCGCTTGAGGAGGTACACCAGAGAGATAGAAGGCAGGAGAATAAACCAGCTGTTCTCCACAGAACCAGCAAAGGTGTACTCTCAGTGGCAAGGGAACAATAAGAGAACAGCACCACCAAGGCTGGAGACGGAGCAATACTGGAAGAGCATATGGGAGAAGGACGCAACCCATAACGGCAATGCTCAGTGGCTAGAGGATCTGAGGGCAGACCACAGCGACCTCCCTGAACAGGGTCCAGTAACCATCACAGTGGCAGATATCCAAGAAAGGGTCTCCAGTATGAAGAGTTGGACAGCACCAGGGCCCGACATGGTTCACGCCTACTGGCTGAAGAAGCTGACTGCACTCCACGAGCGTCTGGCAGCACAAATGAACCAGCTGCTAGTTAACGAGAGACACCCGGAATGGCTAACCGAAGGTCGAACGATCCTGATCCCCAAGGACCCCAAGAAGGGACCGGTCCCCTCCAACTACCGACCAATAACCTGCCTCAGTACTACATGGAAGCTCCTGTCAGGCATCATATCGGCTAAGATGAACAGGCACATGGGTCAATACATGAGCGGGACACAGAAAGGAATTGGCAAGAATACCAGAGGCGCAAAACACCAGCTACTGGTAGACAGAACAATCAGCCGAGACTGCAAGACCAGACTGACCAACCTGTGCACTGCCTGGATTGATTACAAGAAGGCCTATGACTCAATGCCCCACAGCTGGATACTGGAATGCCTAGAATTGTACAAGATCAATGGGACCCTAAGAGCCTTCATCAGGAACTCAATGGGGATGTGGCGTACAACACTAGAGGCCAACTCCAAGCCCATAGCACAAGTCACCATCAAGTGCGGGATCTACCAAGGAGATGCTCTGTCCCCACTGCTGTTCTGCATAGGCCTGAACCCCCTCAGTGAGATCATTAACAAGACTGGCTACGGATACCGACTACGGAACGGAGCAGTTGTCAGCCACCTCCTGTACATGGATGACATCAAGCTGTATGCCAAGAGTGAACGAGACATCGATTCACTGATCCACACTACCAGGCTATACAGCAATGACA